TTGCAATATAGACGATGTTTCGTACGAACTATTTCGACATAACTCTGATGCTTCCAATCTTTTGGCCCAATCTGATTTTTTGTGGTATGATAAACTTGGTCGTCCAGAAGATTTTGATGAATTTGACTGACTAAAAGATGTTGATGGAGTTGCATCATCAATAAATCTAAATTCTTTCTTTAACTAATATAAATTTTTACTTTTAAATTGGCCCATTGTTCTTTGACTTTCTAATCATTTTCGTTTAGAAGAATTGCACAAACGACAAATTTACTTTTCAATATTATTGCTTATAACTACTTTTATATCATTTCCAATTATTTTAATGACGTGTTAAAAAACTTCTGAGTTTTTCTTATTTTTATCGTTCTATTCGAATAGAAAAAATGAAGTTTGAACGGTTGAAAACTTCCGCGCAGTAAAATTTTAAAGCAGTAAATTTAAAAACGCTACACCGAAATATTCCGGTCTAGCGTTTTTAAATTACTGCGTTAAAATTTTACTGCGCGGAAGTTTTCAACCGTTCAAACTTCATTTGCGGTAAATACTGAGGCAGTAATATTTTAACGTTAAAATTTTACTTCACTTCGTTATAACTTTACTGCTTTTTAGTTTACAGTTTATATAGCTTATTTTGTCAAGATGTACAAAACTATTAACTTTAATGATGTCAGAAAATATTTAAATGACAATGCTTTTCCTGAAGATGTGAATGAAAGAGGAAAAAAAGCAAATTTTAAACGGCAGTGTACAGTGGCGGAACTTCAAAATTTGGGCCCCCCTGCAAAAGAATGTTTTTTTTGCGGAAAAGAGTTTTATAGTATAAATATTATTGAGAGTATAACTTTTTTTATATGAGGGCCCCCTAAAGCTGGTAAGCCCCCCCACAACGCAGGGTCGTGCGTCCAGTAGTTCCGCCACTGGCAGTGTAAAAATTTTGTTATTGTTGACAATAAGTTGATGTATTGCAAAAAAGTTATTGGCGAGGTAAGGAAAACTTGTTTTTATAAAAGAAGTTTTTATTTAATTCAAAAGGTTTTACTTAAATAAAATAAAGTAATTAAACAATATTCTTTATTGTGCACTATTTTGAATTAACACAGCATTTTTCAAAAATTCGAAAATTTATAGCTTTAAAACAACTCAAAATAATGTAAAAATTTCATACAAATAATTTTTTTATTGTAGGTAATTGTGATAATAAATCAGGAAGAACAATTAAACATTGTTAAAGAAGTCCATGAGGATCTCGGTACTTCTGAGAAAGCTGTTGCATTAGCTAGCCACTTAGGAATTAATGCTGTGAGAAAGCAAATTTCTTCAAGATTTTTTTGGCATTCAATTGTGGAGGATATTGCCAAACATGTAGCTCAATGTAAATGATGCCAAAAAACCTCTAACAGTAACCTAAAAGTGTCTCCTGCTTTAAAACCTGTTAAAGTAGAACAAAAAGTTATGAAACAAGTTGGTGTAGATTTAATTAAATTACCTGAATCAAATGGATTCAATTATGTAATTGTCCTTCTAGATAATTTTTCTAAGTGGACTGAAGCTGAACCTCTTATCAATAAAACAGCAGTATCAGCCTTTTTTTATAAAGTTATTTGCAGGCATGGTTGTTTTCAAATACAAATTAATGACCAAGGTCGTGAATTTGTCAATTCAGTATCCATTGCACTTCATGATATGACAGGCGTTCAGCAACGTGTAACCTCTGCTTACCATCCACAAGCCAATGGTCTTGTGGAGAGACAGAACCAGACACTTAATAAAGCAATTGTTAAGGTCTTAAATGAAAATGTTAAAAATTGGGCCTCAGTTTTAGATGGAATCCTTTTTGCTTTATGTGTTGAAGTGCACAATTCAATGGGGTATTCACCATTTTACCTTATGTATAACTGACAACCCTATCTTCCAATTGATGTAAAGTACACAAATGTGCTCAATGGGGATAACTACAATCCTGTATATGATAAAGAAGTTTTACAAAAAGTTTTACAAATGAAAAGAGGACTTGAAGAAAAAGCCATGACCAATATTGTTTGTGCACAAAAGAAACAAAAAATTGACTATGATAGAAAGCACACAACACCATCAAATTTTTTTGTGGGTCAAAAAGTATTATTGAGAAATCTAAAAAGAGAAAATAGAAAAGGTGGGAAAATGACTTTCATGTGGCTTGGTCCACATGTTTATTAAGAAACATTCAAGGGAACAACACAATAAAGACGAAGTACTCTCTACATCATGTTAAAACATTTGTTGAAGAGAAAAGTAATTCAAAATTGCATAGTTTAACTTCTGAGTGCAACGATCAAGATAAAAGTCAATGTAATTTCAAATTAATCAAACATCCCACCAAAGAAGTTCTCCAAAAAATAGCTGAAGAACAAGGACTTAAAATATTTATAATGCCAGATCTTTTTAATGTAGAAGAAAATGATGTACCTTCAAAAATACATGTTTTGCAAAGGTGATGGCAATTGTTTTTTTCGAGCAATTTCGTTTTTGCTGACAGGTTCTGAGTGTCAACATACACGAGTTCGCAATGTTGTTGTTAAACATACGGTATCAAAGCCTTGTTCCAGTCTTTTGTTCGGATATTTGGGCGATGATGTGGAAAACTACATTACCAAAAGTAGTATGGCCACAGATAGTATATGGGCTACAGATGTTGAGATCCTTGGTACTGCAAATCTTATTGGAATTGACATTGCTGTATGGTCCTTCACTGGACAAAAACTAGCATGGCTCAAATATCCAGCGTATATGAAACTCGACCAACTAACAGCTCATAGTATTCTTTTAGAAATTAAAAACAATGATTATAACTTTGTTTTGTCACTAAAAGCTTTGTAAACGAAATGATGTTTAAACTGAACTAAAATGATGTTCGTATATCAGTTGTTTTACAAGGTTGTTTGTTATAAAAAAATAAATAATTTGCTCAAGGTTCCTTATTCTTTACAACTTAAAAAAACGTAAATAAGCTTGTTTGTAATAAAACACTACAGAAGTGATTTTATGGATCGCTAGGCTATTTAACATATTCTAAGATTAGATTTTGTCGCACAATAATGGAAAATCGCTTTACTTGATGACAGTAAAAAAATAACGAGCGCAGTAAAATTATAACATTAAAATATTACTGTCTGACGAATATTTTAGCGTTATTATTTTACCGCAAAAGAAGTTTGAATGGTTGAAGACTTCCGCGCAGTAAAATTTCAACGCAGTAATTTAAAAACGCTACACTGGCCATAGAGATTTTTTTTAAAGTAAATTTAAAGTTTAAAAAAATATGTAATGGAAGAAGAAATATTCAAATAACATAATAATGCAATATTTTAGTTTAATTAATTTTTTTCAAAAGTATATATCTGTATAAAAATAATTCACTTTACAGAAATTAAAAATATTAATTAAAAAGTTATGTATTATCAAATTAACAGCTCAATTTACGCTAACTCGTTGTAAACTAAACTGAGTTAAAAATATTCTAAGCGTGAGTGCATATTACAAACAAATTAAACTATTAATTTAAAAATAGACCACATTTATTATAACTTTGAAGAGTTTACTTTAAGGTAGTACATAAAAAAATCTTTTTAAATACTTTAAAAAAATGGGTTTCTGCCAAAAAATTGAGTCTCAGAAACCTTAGTGGGCTGTGGCGTTTAGTTTACTTATAATTAATAAATAAAATCATTTTATTCACATAATATTTTTTTTTAATATACAATTACAAAACTAACTCATATTTTAATAAACTCGTAAAATTGTTCAATGAATTTGAATTCGAATTAAAAATTATAAAAATGTTATTAAATTTTTTATTTTCCCCTTATTATAGTGGAGGTGGTCAAAAATTGTTGTTTTGTTCTAAGACTTCAAATCAAAAACTTTTATCAAAACTCTTGTTTTCGTATGACCATACAAAAGATAACAGCTAACTAAACTTCTAAGCTCACATTTAGTGCTGTCAAAAATCGTGAAAATGCCTGCCTGGATACCTGTCAAAAAAAAAAAGGTACCTGGGTAACCGTTTTAGAAAAAACCGTTTTATAAATAAGTTGTTTTTAAAAACAGTCACTCAAATCAAATATATTTCAAAATAAGTTATAACATGTTTAGTAAAATCACAACAATATAAGTTCTAATATAAAGTAAATACCTAAGATCGCGACAATTACCAAAAATCACAACAATGCAATATCTAATATAAATTAAATACATAAGAATATACGACATAACAACATGAATATACAAGGTAACAATATAGACAATGATGAAAATAGTAATATTAATAATAATTGATATCAATAATAACAATAATAATTATATTAGTAATAACAATAAGAATAATAGTAATAATAATAAAAACATTTAAAGTAAAGAAGTGTTTTTTTTGTTAAGGTGATTTTTTTATGTGCTCGTTGTTGTTTCTTTGGCCACAAAAATTTATTTTTCGAGCCAGGGGAAACGTCCTCCTTGGCTACTGTTAATACCTGATATTACATCATAATTTTACAATAAAACAACATTTAAAAATTAGTTTTCATTAATTGTGACGTTAAGTTTGTTATGCCTTATTAGGATTTATATAGCGACCAAACTTATGAGATGGTATTGAAAGTTCGGTCAAAGCTGTAGCTGTTTGAAATAAAAAATGTCTAATGCTAGTTTTTATTTTAGCTATTTATTTTTTGAAATATGAAATAACGATACAACTGGCTGAATAATTTAGAAAAAAAAAAAAAAAACTCTATAAAAATGTTGGAAGCTTAACTTAGGCATTTTACGGTAAATGATTTCACAATGCAATTTAAATTTTTTTTTATAACATGTTTTCTAATTTTAATGTTTTCAAATTATTTATAATTTATTTTATAAAAAATATCTAATTTGGTCTTTTTTATAAAAATTTTTAAAAAATACACTTTTGAATATGTCGGAAATTTAAATACCAACTTAATACCAATTTAAATACCAACAAATACCAACAAAACGGAGTTCTAACTCTTCTCGTAAGAGTCGTAAACCAAATGTTTACTTTTAATGATTAACCTTTATCAATGTATTAAATAATAAATTATAATCAAATTACCCATTAACTAATTTTTTTGCTTTCTATTCCTAATGGCAAATGTTAAAGAGAAGACAGACGGTATAAAATACTTTTGGAAAGATAATCTTATAAAGAGTAAAGTTCAAGAGAGGTTAGTTACTTATAAAAAAACTCAGATTTAAAAAAATGTTTTAGTTAATTCAAATATAAATAATAATATTACTGTTGTAAACTACATTTATTTTTTGCATATTCATTTAAAAAAAATTATTTAGCTTGATAATTAAATATATGATTTAAATAGTACTACCCTTAAATGATGAGTTTTGTTACCAAGTTTACAATCGTATGTTAACTAAAAGTAAAAATATGCAATTTTTATTGTGAGAAAATATAGCGCGTATCTTTACTAAGATATTGAAGAAATTCATTTCAAAAATGGACTTAAAACCTTATTGTATAAAATATACAAAATATACTAACATCTATATAGAAAGTAATAGAGAAAAATCTAGAAGAGAATACAATTTGATTCTACACGGTCTTGATGAATTAAATAAATCAACTGAAGAAAATATACAACATGAAAACGAGCAAATAAAAAAAGATCTTTAATTACCTGAAGATCAATGAATCATTTATTAAACGACACCACCGCCTAAAATCAAAAACGGACAAACCTGGTATTGTAATAGTAGAATTAAATAATAAAGAAAAAGTTGCAGACATTTTAAAGTCAGCAAGCAATTTGAAATATAATGTTGAATATAAAAATAAAATATATATAAATCAGGATTTAACAACGTGAAAGCAGAAAATTGCTTCTAAAAGAAAGAGATAATTTAAATAATGATGATAATGACCAGCCTTTTCGGTATATTGTCAAAAATGAGTCAATTGTCAAAGTCAAGAAAAGTGAAAAAACTAAAAATTAATTCATTATCTAGTGTAAATAAAAACAAATCTGACATTAATTTTCTATTCAATAAAAAGTCTATCTTAAGTTTTGGTATACAAATTCTATGTCTTTAGTAAATAAAAGTAACAGAGTTTGAAACAAAAATTATGATCAACTCACCAGATATCATACTTATTTCTGAAATATGGTTCAAAAATGACTTAATTATAAATATTAGCAACTACAACTGCTTTTACAATAATAGAGCAAACAAACAAGGTGGAGGTGTTGCAATTTTTACAAAATATGATATAATTGCTTATGAAGTATCAGTTTCACCTTTATATAAAGAAGTTGAACAAATATGGTGTAGCATTGCACTTCATAAAAAAAAAATTTTAGTTGGATGTATATACAGACCACCAAACAGTACTGACCTAATAAATAATGCAGTTAATGAATTGATAAAAACTGCAAAAAAGGAAGTAATGAATGGAAAATACTCAAATGTAATAATTGTTGGTGATTTTAATTACCCAAATATTATTTGGAATGAAGACGGAACTATCGAGCTAAAACAAAACTAGCAAACAAGCAGAGTATTTATTAATAATTTGCAAAACAATTATTTACATCAAGTAGTTAACAAGCTAACTTTTGAAATGGCTGTTGATAAACCAGCAAATATATTAGATTTAATAATATGTGGCGATCTAGATTTAGTAATTAACATTGAATATGATGCTCCACTTGGTCAAATTACTAAAAGCCATTACATATTAAAATGGGAAATTAACATACTCAATTCATATGAGAAAAAGTTCAACAATAAGAGATTTAATTTTCAAAACGGAAAGTACAAAGAAATGAATCTCATGTTTTATAAAGTAAATTGGGTTGAAATCTTTGACAAAATGAGTACAAATCAATGTTATGAATACTTTTTAAAAATTTATGAAAAAACTTGCAAACAATATATTCCTCGCCACTTCAAACCCACTAGTTCTATCCAAAATCCGTGCATTAATAAAAAAATCAAGAATCTAGTTAGAAAAAAACGTAGTTTATAGTGCAGAGTTCGTGCTACAAACTTCAAGAATACAAACTTAAATAATGAATACAAACTTATCAATAAAACAATTAAAAAACAAATTAAAAAATCTACTTTTGATTATGAAATAAACTTAGCAAAAGATGTAAAACATAATCCAAAACGCTTCTATGCATATGCACAAAGAAAAAATCAGACACATACAAAATTGCTAGCACTTAAAACTAGTAACAACAAAATAATAACCGATAAAAAAGTAATTGCTAATCTTCTAAATTGTAGTTTCCAATCAGTATTTGTCAAAGAAAATCAAGATCTACCATATTTCAGCAATAAAACAAGTCATTTATTTGAATGTGACTGGGACCAAGAACTAAAAGAAGATATTATATTTAATTATTTATTAGAACTTAATGAAAACAAGTCATGTGGTTGTGATAACATCAGTCCCTATGTGCTAAAGCATTGTACAGAAGGATTATCCAAACCTTTGTCTTTAATATTCAAGAAATCGATACATTCAGGAGAGCTGCCAGAATTATGGAAATCTGCAAACATTACACCATTTTTTAAAAAAGGAGACAAAAAAGATCCGCTCAACTACAGACCTATCTCCTTAACATCGATACCAAGTAAGATAATAGAGAAAATAATTAGAAAAAAACTGATAATTTATATAACAGAAAACAATCTGTTAACGTCTCAACAACATGGATTTGTACAAAATAAAGGGTGCCTAACAAACCTATTAGAAACTTTCGATATTATTACAACTGAAATTGAAAATGGTTATCCAGTTGATATATTGTTCCTAGATTTTGCAAAGGCGCTTGATAAGGTGCCCCACTATCAACTTATACATAAAATTTCTAACTATGGAATTAAAGGCAATATTTTAAATTGGATTGATTCTTTTTTAAAAAACAGAAAACAAAGAGTGGTAATGGGTGAAGTTGTATCATATTGGTGCGAGGTTTATAGTGGTGTACCACAGAGCTCTGTATTGGGTCCTCTTCTTTTTCTGTTATTTATCAATGATCTTCCCCAATGTATCTCTTCAATCGCAAAATAATACGTTGCTGATACTAAAATCTGTTATAAAAGAACATAATGATCTAACTAATATGCAAAATGACATTGATTTGTTAACTGAATGGTCAAATGTATGGTTAATGGACTTTAACATAAATAAATGCAGTGTTATGCACATTGGAAGAAAAAATATTAACTATAACTACACTATAAAGCAGGACAATCAAAGTTTTCTCCTAAAAACAACAACAAAAGAACTAGACTTGGGTGTAATAGTTTCATCCAATATGAAATGGAATCATCAGGTTCAAGTAGCTACAAATAAAGCACAAAGAATCTTATGTTTAATAAGAAAAAGCTTTACTTATCTTAACACTGAAATGGTAAGGCAACTATACACATCGCTGGTTAGACCACACTTGGAATTCGCTTCTCCAGTGTGGAGTCCAAGTAATAAAAACAATATCAATGACCTAGAAAAAAAGACGAGCAACAAAGCTAGCCCCTAAACTAAAACATCTAAGTTATACCGAAAGATTGTTTCTGAGTTGTGAGGCCCTCACAACTCTGAAAACAAGACGTATAAGAGGAGATCTCATTGCTTTCTTCAAATTAACAACTAGGATTGATAAGATATTGTGGTATAAAGAGCCTAATAAAGCTTCTTCCCAGAGACTTCGAGGTCATCCAATGAAATTTGAAAGAGAATTTGCAAAAACAACACCGAGACATAATTTTTTTACAAACAGAGTGATACCTCATTGGAATGCTTTACCTGAAAAAGTGGTTTCTGCAATGACAGTAAATTCTTTTAAAGCTAGACTAGATAAACATTTGTTAACGGCTGTTAAAGTATAAATTTTAAACTTTATGCTTCACGACAATCGTCGTTACAGCAGTTTGTATTACTATATATGTATTGTATTAATATATATATATATATATATATATATATATATATATATATATATATATATATATATATATATATATATATATATATATATATATATATATATATATATATATATATATAAATTTTGTTGTTTAGGGGAATTTTGACCAGAGTTAGCAATGCCAGAGTGCTACAAAAATTTTTTGGTGTTTGACAAAAAACATATAATTTTCATGAACTTTACTCGCTTTATATCTTTCTTTAAATATTTGAGCTAAAACCTTGAGGTTTTTTCACATCAATTAGTTTGACTCAACGTTTTTTCAAATATGTATAGAAAGTGCTATGTTTTGTATATACTTCTTATATATCTATTATATACTTTTCTTATATATACTATTGATAAGAAAACTTGCAGCAGGAATGTTTTATCAAAATAAGTTTTAAAGTTCCAGATTCCTTAATACCAAAACACCTCAGATTTGTTTGAAAATTTCCATATAGATTAAAAAAGGATAAGGAATCTAATCAATTAAAGAACCTTTTTTAACATTTATACGTAATGTCTTAGTTCTCAGCATTAAAATACTTTTTCAGCTTCTTAAAAAAGTCAGCTTCTTAAAAAAATACTTTTTTAAAAAAGGTTTCCTGTAAAAATTTTTTTGGATTTTTGCGCTTGATTTGATGTTTTATCATATTATTTTGGTGCCATTTTACAGCAAATTTTTCATATCTAAGTATGAGACATTTTGTTGTAATAAAAAAATTCTAAGATATTACATTTTTTGTGGCAAAAAACTTATGATTTGTAAAAAAAATCATAAGTTTTTTGCCACAAAAAATGTAATATCTTAGAATCCACTTAACTTTTAAAGTTGAAAGGTCACGTTTTTTTAAAGTCTTGTTTAACTCTATACAACTATGTTAATCATATATAAATATGTCAAGAATAAAAAAAAATTCATGTGGAATGACTACCAGGAAAGGACGCAGCATTTTTTGTGTGTTTTAGATACATAACTTTCAGACATGGAGCAAACTTCAAACATTCATATATTGGTACTTATGTCAAATAAGGATATGTTGCAAAAAATGTGATTGTTGGAGCTTTGGAACATAATAGCCCTAAAATATCCCCTCCTCCTCCTGCCTTAAATGTGAAAGCAATAAGTTGATAAAATATTTTGTTTATCCAGCAATTAAGCAGCGTAAAATAAATTTGTTTTTTAGCTTTTTTTATTTTCCACCATAAAGACATTTTTTAATGTTTTATAA